TAATTGATAAAGTAAGAATAAAGTAAGAATGATTTTGAGCCACACAAACTTTACCAAATATGGTATGGGACAATTTAAGTGGGAATTCCCGAAATGGTAAAACGGGACAATATAAATGGGACCTTAGTTTTAAAAGGCACGAGGCGGCTTGAGGCGATTTCATTGACTTACCCGAGGCGCGAGGCGCTAGGCGATGATGCGCTCGCCTCACGGACCTTAACCTTATAGCTTTGGAAAAATATATTTATACTACTGCATGAAGAACTCTTCCCAAAAAGTGATAAATCAAAAAATACTTCAAATTATTAAACAATCTTAATAAACACCTTAAGAGAGAAAAATAAAATATTTATTCAGACAAAATAGCAAAAAGTATATACTCGTATTAATAGAAAAATAGTAATAATATTAATAATATAAATGAACTTTTACATAAAAATATTAATAATATAACAAGCTGTCTTATAAACAGGTAAATTGATAATGTATCTGATAGGACAAACCATCTTTATTATTATTTTAAATTGATAAACATTCTGATTGGGATTAGGGTTTAGGGCAGATTGTTATAGTTTTATATATTTTAATAATTTTTATTATTTTATAAATTTAAAAAATTAAGATAAAAGAGAATTAAGAGGAGAAGAGAACAAAAAAATATAAAAGCATACCTGGGACGCGAGAGAGAAGCGGAAGATAGAAGGCAGAAGAAGAGAAGCAAACGCAGAAGGCAGAAGATAATAGATAGACATATAGTTTGATGAACTTTAACTTAACGATATATAAGACCTACGATATTCTGGAAGTAATATCTGAATGACTGAATCGCTAAAAGGCTTCAAACGTTAATCGCCAAGGTTTTGAAGAAATACTATCGGACACTTCCAAGAGGCGTGAGAGGCGGACGCCTCTCAGACGCGCAAAAAGCGGCAAAAGGCATGAAAGAAGGCGCGCCTCTTGGAATCTGCTACGCCTAGGGGGTTAAGATGCGATGAACCCATCGCCTTAGGGCGCCTAGCGCCTTTGCGCGCCTCAGGCGCGCTTTTTTAAACCAAGAATGGGACAGAGGGAGTATTAGTTAAAAAAAACAACTCCCTCAACTAATACTTAACTAGTCTCCTTTGACTTTCTAGAATAGACATGCCCTTTAAATCTATTCTTATTATTTAGACTAGCCGGGGTACTTATCATAATAGTACACACTATCAGGTTATTCCATATTTCTTCTTTCCATCAGTTTAGCTGGTCAAGAGATGAGAGAGGATAAAATAACAAACCACAATAAACTCTGCTGCTTTGGGCCCATTTTGTAAATCAAAACTGTAACCAAGAGAAAAATGTGTGAGTTAAATGGAGAGAAATGAAATCAAGGGATAAAATAAAAATGCAGACTGAGGGCGTATTAACCTTATATCAAATGAGATGCCGCTTTTCTTTTCCACAAATTTGATGATTGGAACGCGAGCCTTCGCGATCACCTGATTTTTTAGACAAAGCTAAAGCATAAGAATAGAACTAAGTAGAATGACAGTGATGCAACAACAAACTGAAACCTGCCTGTATCTTCCTGGCAATTCTTTTTTGTGAAAGGGCTTTTGACAGAGCATGTAACCCAATTTGAGGACTTCTGATATCTGACTCCATGATGACAACCTACAACTCGATAGATATCGCGATCCTTAGTATAAGAGTAAATACTCAAACAATCATTGTAATTCCAATTATATGAACCTTTTGAATCCCAAACATGTTCTCTTTCACCACCACAACAAAAACCCATTCTTCTAGTTTTGATTATCAAGAAGAAATAAACTTTCCTAATTACAATGTCTAATCTCACACATAAGTCCTTGCTTCAGATGGCTTTAAATAAGATATAAAGCCAGGAGGGGTGAGAAAGACCCCCTGCCACTTTTTTCAATACTGTAAATTTGCAAGCACTTTTATGAAAATTGCCACCCCATAATAATAATAATAATTGCCCCACGCAACGCAGAACCCTGGCTAGTTCCTTGTTACTTGAATCATTATAAAGAATAATATAGAGAAAAATCAATTTTCAAGTACTAGTATTAAGACTATAACACCATATACGTTCAAAATAGACCTCATCGGAAGATAAAACCAAAGATTAAAATGCTTATTAGTTACAACTACTATTAATAGAAATTAGAAGGTATTTATTAACTTACATCAATATCACTGGAAGGAAGATACAGCCCTGTCCGGAAAGACCCAAAAACTTCTGGCTGCAACGAATACAAGAATGCATTTCTCTGTGAGGAGGCTTCATAAACACATGGATAAGACATACATCTTATGTTGTACTTATAGCATGCAAAAGGTGTAATATTGATTAACTCTAAACTATAAAGGTGAGACACCTTGCTTTCCGGCCAGATGTACTTGATGACTTCAAACACACGTTCTACTGCAGCACTTCGTGCTGCTTGTTCCTCTTGACTTGGCGATAGGAAATCACAAAAATCTATTATCTCTGCAATCTTGCAGACAACAATCTGAGAACCAAGCTTTATTCGAGAAACCAAAAAACTTGAAACCAAAGGGAGCATAAAAACAAAACAAACAATCAATGCCCATAACCGCAAGAAGCGAGCTTTAATGTTATGATGATTAAAGGCATGTTTTGCTGTACATCCAGCTAAGCAGAACTAAGGACAGTACCTTTGTGGAGCTGAAGCATAGGACTACTGAGACGACAGGTGGCGCTAAACCAGTTTCCTTCAATCGTCCTAGCCGATTCCTTAACAGGCACCGTTTGAGAAGCTGGATGTGGCGGCAAGAACAAATTCCGGTTAACCTCTTCGTCGGCATCGAGCGAAAAAAAATCCTGCGCGGCAGTTTCAGGAAAGGGGAATGAGGTTGAACTTAGAGAAACTTCGCTGCGAAAAACGGTGTATGGCTCATGTTTATCGGGAAGAAACGGTGACAAAGACGGGGCGGTCGACTGTTCGGTAGAAGCTTCGCCCTGGAGTGGGCTTAGGGTATCGTATAAAAAAGCTTTGGCCTCCTGGTTTTCCATTGCTTGGCGGGAGGCCGGAGCAGTGGATTCACGGCGGTGTTATAAGGTTTAGGCCAAGGAAGTGTTTGTCGGAAAGATTTATAAAAATGGGCTCAAACGGAGCCCAAGTTTGAAATTTAACAAAATACTCCGTCCTTTCCTTTTGCCAAATTTGATCTGACGCTTGAAAACAATAAACTAAAAACCAAATTTTATTTTATTTTTACAAAATTTTATCTATTTTCTTTTTGTCTTGAATTTAAATTTTTTGTGAAATAAATTGATTGATTAAAAAGGAAAGAGTTTTCTGTCCTAAATAGGACTAAAATGTTGTCTAATTCTAAAATAGGAGTATGCATACTCTTACTACCTAAATAGGAGTATAGGACCATTACGGTTCACTACTACCCATTCATTCTTCTCTCTTTCTTCTCAAGTTGGAGTCTGATGAACGAAACCTAGCTGCAAGGAGCCACGAGTGGCGACAAAACGATGATGAACAACAGCAGTTGCAAGCAATACTGACCGGCGACGAGCAACAAAGGAGTCACGGCGAGCAGCGGTGGCCGGCGGCGAACAGCGAAAGAGCCACGACGAGCAGAGGCGGCCAACGGCGAGCTTTGTTCATATCTGTTGATGAAATTGATGCTCGTAATTCTCCCCTAGCTATCTCTTCCTTCTCCTTCTTTCTCAACTTCTCCTCTCTAGCTATATTCTTTGTCTCTCTGTCTCCCACTTTTATTTCATCACGGATTCTGGAGATTTGAAATGCTTAGCATTCAACGATGGCAACTGGCTTCATCATCTATGATTTTTTAAAAATGTCACATTTTGTTTTAAAAAAAGCCATGAATATGGCATTTTACTCTTCAAAATTGCCATATTCTTCTTTGCAAATGTCATTTATGGTGGCTAGAGTAAGTATCTTGTTGTTCTCACAATCCTGCTTTCTCTTCGGCCTCTTTTTTCTCTGGATCTGCCTTTCCCGTCTTCTATTTCGTGCTAGTTGAAAAAACAAAATCGAGATGCTTCTTTGGGTGTTCTTTGCTCGCGAAAAAATGTCAAATTATATTCTGAAAATGCCATCAAAATGGATTTTTTCTCTCTCTTCCGAATGCCATATTTTTCTTTGAAAATGCCATTAATATTGCATTCTCGTTTCATGTTGACATTCAATACTAATGTTGACATCAGCGCCGACGGCTGCCAGATCTGCCGCGGGGGAGGCTGGATCTGTAGCGGCAGAGGGCGGATTTGCAGCAACGACCACTGGATCTGCAGGGGCGGTGACCGGCGACGATTGATCTGGCAAGATCTACGGCACTGGTGGCCAGATCTATGGCGGTGACGACTAGATTTATAGTGGCGGCAGTCGGCGACTGGAGGCCGACGAATGGCTGCGATCCGACAGCAGTCCGGCGTTCTGTATGCTGCAGTGGGTTTTGACAAGCTTCAGGGTATTTTTGTCCAATTGCAAATAATAACTCCTATTTGAGGAAATTTTAAACTTTGCTCCTATTTTAACAATTAGGGATTTATTTACTCCTATTTAGGTTAATACTGGAAAGGAAAGTGACAAAGTTTTTGGGACAACCAAAAAAGGAAAAAGTTGACAAAGTTATAAGGGACAGAGGGAGTAGCATTTTGTTGTAGAATGAAAAGAAATTTAATTAGATTCTCTTATAAAATAAAACAAAAAAATTGCTCTCGGTAGAACACTTTCATTACTTTTTTACAAAAATAAGATCGAATCTGTCAATTACTTGTGTAGGACTCCAGAAGTCCTATTTTAGGAAACTCAAATATCATTTTCCAAAATTACCCCAGCTACTTTTATAAACTTTTACTTTGTATTCAGTTAAACGCATTGAGTTTCCCTGAACTAGACTACCGAACTGAAGTCTCAATCATCATCTTTGCGTTCTCTCATATCTTCTCTATGTTCTCGCACATTGATTTAGCTTTTCTCTTCCACAATTATCTCTCGCGGTCATCTTCTCTACGTACTCTGCACTCTTCTCATGTAAGTTTTTGGTGATTCTACATCATGTGTATTATTCGCTCTGCTTTTTTTGAACTCTTAGATTTTTTTTAGTTTGTATTACTTTTTGGCATTCGAATGTTTGTTATCTAGCTCATGCAATATTTCATGTCATTCGAGTGTTCCTTATCTTTTGATTTCTTTGGATTTCAATGTTTGTTATCATTGCTACGTTATTATCATTGGATTTCATTGTAATCGTTTTTATGAATTAGTAATTCTGAGTTTCTTATATTGTTTTCGGATATATTAATATGTATGAAGATGATGTAGTGTGCTTATTCATTAAACAAATCAATATACTTTGTATTTTACTTTTTTTCCAATTGATTTCCAAATTTATGGGTGTTTTTGCTCATTGCTATTTTCACACACTTTGATGGATGTTGATTATGCTCAAAGTTGTTGGTTGTTGGGATGATTCACATGTTTTTTCTAATAAAAGAACTTGCGGCCAAATACTTCATGGTGAGACACTATACAATGCTTTCACTGAATTGGTTTACTTATGCATTGGTGCACTTGCTTCAAAAGATATGGAGAAAAGAGGCAAATAAGCCCTTGAACTATTTGCGATTCTGCAATCAGACCCTTGAACCGGAAGACTTGCAAATACACCCTTCAACTCGTTGAAAATTAAGCAACTAAATCCTTTTTTATCCGCCGATATAGGTAAGAAGATGAGAAATTACCGGCACCAACAGGTAAAAAAGTTATGATTGCTTAATTTTCAACGAGTTGAGGGGTGTATCTGCAAATCTTGCGGTTCATGGACCTGATTGCAAAAACACAAATAGTTCGAGGGTTTATTTGCCCCTTTTTCTCAAAGAAATGCTTAAGTTTACATATTTGGTTAAGTCATGCCCTCCTCTAGTTGTTGTTAATGATGATAATAGTTTGAAATGTTACCTTACACTTAAGAAATTGCATCCTGATTATGCGAAGTGTCCCTTATGTGTTGAATTATGCCCTGTTTCCGCTTATAATTGGGCCTACTGCTCTTCTATAGTTGCTGCGATTGATTTAAATGCTTCTCCACTTAATGAACATGCCCAATTACTCTTACAATCAGTTTCATCTCCTTTGCATGAAGGCAATTCTTTTGAGTTCTATGCTACCAATGATGACATTTCAGCAGTTTGTGAAGATACAACTCTTTTGCCTACACCTTCGTCTTCATATCCTGACACTGAAGATGATGATGTTAGTCCAGAGTTTGAATTACGTAATGTTTCTGATTTCCAAGATATTGAAGTAATCTCTCGTTTTAATCCTACACATATAGCTAAAGAGTGTACTATGTATTTATAAGGGCAAAAAGGCATTGGATTCCCATTTGAAAATGTATGTTATTTCAAATTTTTTCCAATATAAGACGAGGACATCAAATAGAAAAGTATTGCATGTTGTTTGCCTAGATGATCATTGCATTTGGTCTGTTCGTGCAATTAGGTTGGGTGGTTGTCAAATGTTTCAAATAAGAAGGTAATTTGATCATGTATTTCACTGTCCTTTCATTAATTTGTTTTATGTATTATTATTACTATTTACTGTATGTTTACCGTGTTATTATTGTTTGCTTCCTTTTCAGGTTTGATAGTGTTCATATCTGTGCTCTTAATTTTAGACAAGGTCCCCATCGTCAAGTGACATGTGATATAATTGCAGAATTGATTAAAAGTCGATATGTTGATGCTTCAACAAAACCGTATGCTCCAAATGATATCATCGTTGATATGATTCATACTTATGGTATTGTTTTGCCATACAAAAAAAGCATGGAATGCAAATAGAAAAGCTCAACAAAAGTTGATGGGTTCAAATGAGGAATCATATCAGTTGTTACCATCCCTTGCTTATGTTTTGAAAGAGAAGCATCTTGGTTCAGTGATCAACTTAGGTATTGATGCCAATGATCATTTTGAGTCTTTTTTCATGTCATTGGATGTGTGGATTCAAGGCTGGAATCATTGTTTTCCTGTCCTTATTATTGATGGATCATTTATGAAAGCATATTATAAAGGGACTCTACTAACCGCTTGTGCTCAATATGCTAACAAGCAGATATTTCCTCTAGCTTTTGGCGTTTGTGACAGCGAGCGAAAGACAACATGGACTTGGTTTTTTAAGAAACTAAAGGAGTGACTCGCATTCAGGAATGATGTATACATTGTTTCAGACCGTCATGAGGGTATTCTTCATGCAGCAAAGACTGTTTCCACATGTTAAACATGGGCATTGTGTGTTTCACTTGTTTGGAAATATTAGGTCAAAGTTCAAGGGTTGTACGAAAGGTCTTTCATGGAAATTTAACCAGGTTGCAAGAGCTGCCACTTTTGCTTAACTGGAGAGTTTCTTGGCGTTATTAGATGCTGAAGATCCTCATATCAGTGACTATTTTTATGGAATAGGTGTTCAAAGATGGGCACATTGTTACTCCACTTTCTCTCGGTACTCTATAATGACATTCAATAATGCAGAGTCAATTAAATTAGTGGTCCGTGTTCCCCGTGAGTACCCCATAGCAAAATTGATTGATTTTTTTTTTTGCGTGAAAGGATGCAAAAGTGGTTCGTTGAACGTCGTGATGCATCAGCAGCCAATAAAATAGTTCTTTCTAAGCACTTTGAGTCCCATCTTCGTGCTTACCATGCTGCAACATCACTTACGACTGTAAGTGTATTACTTTTTCCTTGTAAACTCATTTTTAAGTATTGTTTCTTCTCAGCTTGACATATTATTTATTATACTAGTTTATTTTAATATTCTGTATCATATTCTAGGTTAAGCCGGCTACCCAGTTTGAGTTTGAGGAGGTGGACATAACTTTCAAAATCTTCATTGTTGATTTGAAGGCCAAAACATGCTCATGCATGTTTTGAATTTCAACTTGAGCAGTTCATATGTGTTCATGGTGTCACTGTTATGCGTCATCGTCGCAGTTTATCTTGTTATGACTATATTTCAAAGTATCACTTCAAATAATCTTGTATTGCTGCTTATAGTGGGGTGGTTCACTCTATTGGTTCTCCTGTGGATTGAGACATTCTTGCTTCTATAAAGTCTAATATATGCAAGCCGCCTACATGTCTCACCCGCCAACCTGGTAGACCTAAGAAGCGTATACCTTCAACTGGAGAATTTTCTTCCCGCCAACGGTGTTCATAGTGTAAAAAGGGTGGACACAATAAGAAGTCATGCAGGAACCCAATTTCAGTTTGTAGTCTTTACTTAAAAAAACTAGCAATTGTCTTCACTTTCTCCTTGAATAACTGTTGTAAGACATTCATTTTTCAGTTTTATTCTTCTTTACTGTCATGGTGTTTTGTCATTATCAACTTGGTGTTTTTGTTAGTTTTTTGACAATTATGTTGCTGTAATGTTTGTTTTTCTACTGAAGACCCCTGGATAAAAGGGTTTTTATAATGCTAATTACAATCTCTTTAATGTCTACTTACTGCCACTGTTATTTGTTTATATTTATTACTGTCTACTCCTATTATGTTGTTATGCTTAGTTGTACCCTTTTTTTAGTTGTACCCTTTTTAGTGTTCCATCTTCATTAAACAAAACCATTGTACTGTGTGTGTTAGTAGTCACATTCATAAACTATTATTATGAAGTCAAAATTTATCAGTGGATTTTATTAACTTTTTATTGAATGTCAATTTTGAATAAAGAAATATTTTGTAAAGGAATGCTTTTTTGTCTCCACCTTTAAGAACTTGTATCAAATTATACATTGATAAAATTACTGCCATGGTTATAGTACATTGTTGTACTATTTTTTTGTTCTAACTTCACATTCAGTCATATAATGTGTATGGTTGTGCCATTAAAGACTACTTATCACCTACTTATTATCTTCGTTAGAGATTTGAAGCATGCATTACAGACGAGGTCAAGAATAAACAAAACGAACAAGCATTTGTTTTTGGTGTTCACCTTTAACCAAACTTTTGTCATATTATACATTGGTTACAGTACTATGTTGTGCTATGTTTTTTCTCTAACTTTACATTCAGTCATTTAGGGTGTATGGTAGTGACATTAAAGACTACTTATTACGCACTTATTACCTTTGTTAAACATTTGAAGCATACATTACAGATCAGTTCAAGAACAAACAAAACGAACAAGCATTTTTTTCATTCAAAAGAAAAATATAATGTTCCATATAGTGAATTTTTGAAACCATATGTGAGCAATACATGGAGTAAAAAGTCTTACTAAAAAAAATTAAGGAAATTATACATTCTTTTTGCTTCAAAACAAATAGCTTTAACAGAAATTTGAGAACATTACATCTTATTCCAACCACTGCCTTTGTGCTAGAACTAGAAATCATTTTGAGCTTTCAACTGCGTCATGATGTGCATGCAATAGCTGCTTTGTCGTCAATTTCTGTCGGTACATTTCTATGTTTTCCTTTGAAACTTTATTCACATCTCTATCCATCATTAGATATTCAGCAAACTTGATGACAAACATGCCACAATTGCCCCTGTAGAAGCATAAATTACTTGAGTAAAAAGGTGATTGCATATGATATTTAAACAAATGTGAAGAAAAAAAATTACAGACCCACATACCCATCATTCTGCTGTAGACATTCCCTAACCATATCAATCTGAAATTTTGCTTTTTCTAGTTCTACCTCGGGACGCTTGTCATAAACTCCATACCTCTCCATCGGTTTTGGTAAGAAAGACTCCAAGCATGGTATGTATGCCCCTATGATTGACAATGAATCTCATCTTCTCTTTAGGGAGTCATACACTCTAATGCGCTTACCATTAATCTCTAGAATCAATAATATCTAGTGCTTTGACGTCTTCAATGACATGTATACAAAATCAGCATATGCACATGCCATTGCATTTCCCGTGTTTGATCCAAGCACAATATTCATTATGGTGCCATTATATGTTAATTTAGTCATTGATGTTTTCTCATTTTGCACCATTTAAGCTTGCGTCTTCAGCATCCCGATAACTAAAGGGTCTGTAATGGAATATTTTTTTCGGAGTTTGTAATGATTTCTTTTCACTCCCAAGTTGAAAATTGCCACTCTAATATGCTGAAACATTTAAAATATCGTTAATACAATTTATTTTCACCAACTATTATACAGTGTGTAAGCCATAAGTTAGTTTTTTATAACTTGCACTATCAGACAACCACTACTTATTTGTGAAGAGGTCATAAATCCATGTCTTAGTTGTTATAACAAAATCATCCAACCGTAATCCAAATTTGCATCCCACTAGCTCATCATACTTTTTTTTAATTTCTTTGAGACATTAGTGTCATGGTTCTTTACCAGCCCCTCCATGATAAATTGTTTTACTTTCTCTACCTCTTCCATAGGTGGCATTTGTTTTGGATCTTCGTTGAATGATCCTTCAATTCCATTGATTTCGAACCTTTCAGTCTCATTTCTTTTCTTCATTTCCCTTTGCACTTTCCTTTTTTTTTCATTTGGGTTGTGGGATTAGGCGTGTATATGTTGGGGCTCTAGCAATCCTTTTTGTCCTTCCAATCTCCTTTTCCTTCCCTGGACTGTGAACATCTTCTCCAGCCTGTGGTATAACCCTTTCTCCTTCTAAATCAACATTGTCAGACTTCATTCCGATGTCTTCCTGTAATTGCATAATAAATCATACATACTTAATCATTTATTTAAATATAAGATTTTTAAGAATATTGAATTACCTCTTCTTCTATTTCCTTCCCAGTTTCCTTCAAGTCCTTAATCACACTATCAATGGCATTGTCTACATGCATTTGCAACTCTTGTGTGTCAATGCTTGCATGAGCGGGAGTGAGTACCACTTCAATCTTCACATATTATTATGTTGTCTTTTTTGCGCCTATATGGTCTGCTTCATCACTTGTTACTTCATTCTCATGTTGTGAGTGCCTAAGGTGTGCATCCTCACCAATGGGATATACATCTTCTTTTTCATCACAAATATGTTCTACACCATCCTCACTGTCTCCTTTTTCCACCTCATTGTCTCCCTTTTCCATTATTCTTTTGTCCAAATTCTGACTTAGACTGGATGCAAGTCAAAACTAGGCATGTCGGCCAGGAAAGCTTCTTCATGTATTTTCCTCTGAAGCATTTCATTCTTATTAATATTCATATGTTGTGCTTTTTGTAAGAAATAATCTCCCCAACATCTCAGTTTGCTTCTTTTGGCCATTGAGCAGCCTTTCCATTCCTTCTTCAAGCACTTTCACCCTACTTTCAAGTTTTTTATTTTTCTTGGATTGTAGTATCACCGCAACCATGATATTTCGCATAACCACCCTATCCCTAATTTGGTTGCCAACAAGTGTTCTTGTTTTCATCAAACAATTTAATCTGTGGAGACCACTTGTTTCATGATCACCCTTTTGTTGGTTCATATCCTCAGTTTCTCTTTCATTGCAGTCAATGTGTTCACCTTGACATTCATTTTGACTTCCATGAACTTCATCATCTTGATTAGCTGCACCAAATCACACTTTTTTTGTGTGTTTTGGTAGTCCATGTTTCAGAGTATGACTACTTCTTTTGAAAGTCTTATTCCTCATGGATTGGTAGAACGCATTCATTGTAGGAATCTTAAGCTCCTCTTTTGTTGGTTGCATTTCAATATATTCAAACTGTTTTTACCAAAAAAATATTCAAACTGTATTTCATATAAAAAACAGTCAATGAAAAGTTAATTCACACCATAATGCATAACTTTACATGACACACAATATAGACATTATAAAAATAGATTTACCCCTTCATTCTGAAATATGGCATCTGCTAGGGTCATCGTATTTGTCTTCTTTGGTGTCGACCACCTCAGCAACCTTGGCCATAACTTCCTTCTATCTTCATCTAACTTACAAACATGGGTCGTCCCAAGAGCTAGGAAATTTTCAAATGCCCATATTTGCAAGGCAAAAATGAAACCTGGAAAGGTGAACCTATGTCTTTTTTCCCTTTTAATGTTTTCAGTTCATTTAGGCACCTTTTCCAATAAATCTTCTCACACTTCATCCCCCCATCGATATTGGTTGACCAATTCCAGGTCATTTACCATGTTGATGTATATCCCCGAACATTTCACTAGCTTTTGGTTTCCCATTATGTAATTGGAAATCAAGTCCAGTACAACTAGTTTTACCCTATCTAAGGGTTGTTTCTCCACATGTATATCATCAAACTCCTCAAAAACTCTAGTTATGTCTTTCCTAGAAACATTATTCCTTCAATTAAAATACCTTCTCCATATGTCACCTACACTGTCTTGAATTTTTTGTTTTTCACCTCCCATCTTAAATCTCGTTATTAATGCCAATTTCTTCTTTATGAAATCCACCACTCTATTAGGACGGTGAGTTAGATGGAGATGTATCCCATAGAATCAGAAAATGGTGGATGAAGTGGAAGAGTGCGTCAGGATTTCTATGCGATCGAGGTATGCAGACTAGACTGAAGGGTAAAATTTATAGGACAACAATTAGGCCTGCATTACTGTATGACACGGAGTATTGGGCGGGGAAACAATGTCACATTCAAAAGATGAGTGTGGCAGAAATACGCATGCTGCGTTGGATGTGTGGGGCATACTAGAAAGGACCACGTGAGGAATGAGACAATTAGACAAAGGGTGGGAGTAGCACCTATTGAAGATAGGATGTGGAAGTCGCGCCTACGGTGGTTTGGTCTTGTGCATAGAAGACCGAGTGATGCATCTGTCAGACAAGTTGAGATGTGTGAAGAAGTGGTAGGGAAGAGAGGGAGAGGAAGGCCCAAACAGACGTGGGTTAGGGGAGTCAGAAGTGATATGCTTCTTCTTGGATTGGTTGAGGGTATGGCTTTGGAGTGATCTTGTATCATTTTTCCCCCTCTTTTTTTCTTTCTTTCTTTTTCTTTTTTTCTTTTTATATTTTTATCCTTATATATAAATATTACTTTATCCTTTTTATTTTATCTTTTATATGTATATTCATCTCTTTTATATTATCTTTTTTTATAATAGCTAATCTTTTTTATCTTTATTTTCTTTCTTTTGCTTTTGGTGATATCATGTATCGATTGATGTTAGCCGACCCCAATATCGTTTGGGACTAAGGCTTGGATGTTGTTGTTGTTGTGCGCTGAATTGTGTAACAAGCAGAAAAAGTAAGGTTGGAGTTACTTTTCTGGCTGTATTGGCTAAAGTTACTGTAGACGACCATTTTAGCTATTTTTACATATAATTTTTTCTTAATTTTATTAATAAAATACATTTAATTTTTTTTTAAATCAGTAGAATCAGCCAATGCAGCCACTTCAGCCATAACTTCATAAATTTCAGCAGAATCAAACAAAGCAGCCGATTTTTGTGCTACCAAACGGGCCCTTTG